CGAGAGAGAGAGAGAGAGAGAGAGGAGGCAAACCTCGGCCCACCCCACGAGACACGATTGATTGCTTGCGATCAGATTATGGCAATTAATGGCTCAAGCGCTATGCCTATGTACGGCTCGCCACCGCTTGTAAATTAGTTCCGGTTCCGGGGAAACACCCGGAATTCAACTTCTATCCACCGCAACCACGTGGACCGTCTCGAACCCGCCCCCGCCTCGAATTCTCGATCTTCGTCGATATATTCAATTCGCGTTTCGATTCGAGTGCAAGAAAGGAGAGGAAGCGATCTATTGTTCTTATTGTTATTATTGTTATTATTATTATTGTTATAGCATTATTTTGAAAGAATAACTCGATTGAAACTGGAACAGGATCTCGTGTGCAACAATACGTAGGGGAGGGGGGGAGGTGGCATGCGTGCTCTTGTTCGAATATTCCGATTCTATTGGATTCTATTGGACTGGTTGTTGGGATATGATAATGGGTTAATAATGGAGGGGGTGTATACTCACAACGTCGATGAGCTGGGAGAGGCGTAGTCCCATTTTGACAGTGAGGCGATCGCTGTTGTTGCCAACGGGGCGGATGAGGCGGTTGTAGTTGGACAGCAGGTCGTCGTAGAGACGCTTCGCTTCCGAATTGGCCGAGGCGCCCGGAAACGGGGCAACAAGACAGGAAATGGCCGTCGCCATCGCCAGCAATCCGCCCAACCTAGACCACCATCGCCACCAGCCTTTCCCACCGTCGTTCGACCAAGCATCCCTAAGCATCGTACGCCTTGTCCACCCCTGAAACCATTTCGAACAATTATCGTTACGTTAACATCCTCCTTTGATCGATAACTTAAATGTGAAAACATCTCGTAAAACATCTCGTGTGCGCGCGTGTGTATATATGTAAACGTGTACAAGGGAAAAGGAAAGATAGACTCTCTCTTTCGACGCTCCATCATCCGTCTCAATTTTCCTCTCTTCCCTCTACACAACCCTCCATAACCATCCATCACTTAGCACGCTTTATATACAATTCATCCAGATAAACTGGGAAACGAACACTCGTCGTTTCTCTCGCGATCTTATTATATTCTTATACATCGCATCGCGGTATATAATTCGATTTGTCGTGTATCGATTTTCTCTCTCTCTCTCTCTCTCTCTCTTACGAGAGTTTCGAAGAACGAGCCATGCTCTCGGAAACGGAAGAAAAACTTGGTTCCGGTTCCCTGATCAACAATCAGTTTCGAATAGAGGGAGGGCGGCGGTGTCACACTCTTTGCGAGTACGTGCGCGCAAGACACGTGCTTGTCGCCGTCTCGATAATGCTTTGACGATAATGCTTTTCAAGCGAATCACGGTACGAGTTAGCGAGGCGTAAGTTGGTTGCCAGACGAAAGTCATTTACTAGCCGTGGAGAAGAGCGTAACCGCCCATAAAGGAGGGCTTGAACGGCATTGTTGTGTCGCTGAAAGGAAGGAGTGGAAGGAGGGGGGGGGGGCAAAGGAGGAGGAGGGGAACCTCTTGAGGAACTTTTATCGCTTCGTTGCTGACCTACCTGCGGCCCATTATCAGTGTACTACTACCACCACCTATGCGCCCGGGAAAAGCTACTTTCCCGCATTATCCGGGGATTTACACTTCTCTCGCCGTTCCTTCGTTGATTCTGAATATAAACGAGCCCGATTCCCACGCGACCACCACGCATATATACGTTTATCCATCGATCCAGATTAATTAAAAGCGTTAAACGCCGATCGCAAACATCCTCGATATCGTTTCTCAGGCTTAGATTAGATGGAGGAGATCGATCGACGAATAAATTATTCCTCCATTACCAATTTTTAGACGAAATCAAATCAAAACTTGTTGTTGCGTTCATCTATTCGAAATTATTTAATAACGAGAATATCGAAACGTGCTAAAGATACGAGAAAATACACATATTTTCTCGTGTATATACGTTTCGTTCGAATTCCTCGCGTAACATTTGAATAACGTTAAATTCGTTTACGCGATACGTACTATCCACCAGGGTTCACGTAACATTTTATGAAAATTTAATAACTCGGATTGCTCCCGTTCCGTTTTCATTTTTACTCTCCTTCCTACTTTTTTCTTCTCTCTCTTTTTTTTCGCGTTTTCATCCCATTATAATAAAAATAACAACAACGCGTAAAAAAAATCCTCGATACCACCACCCTTTCACGTTGAACGAGAGCTGGCGGACCGCGGGCGAGGTGAATCTCGTCGATATTCCCGTGATTCCGTTAATCGAGGAAAATTACGTAAAAAAAAAAAAAAAAAAAAGGGGGGGACAGGAGGCGCGTATTAACTATCGACGCGCGAATGAAATTTATTCCATTTGTACATTCCATTCGCGGAGGAATAAATATTGGCGGGGTATTGGGTATCTCATTGATACCACGGCCGTAAAATTACAATCGAAACTGCCCGTTGAAACTGCACATCCGCAAGAACTGTCCCCCTCCCCCCTGTATTTACGATTTTATGGGGCCGCGGTATCGATTCGAAACTCGGTTGGAAACTCGCCCAATGCGTCGGATCTGCCCGCTATTCTGCTCTAACGCGCGAAAATTATGCGTTCGAGATACGCGTTTTGTTCGCGCCGAACAAACGTCGTACGGTAAATAACTCCCCCCGAAATTAACAAACGTTCCTCGATAAAGATACATCGTCAACCCTCGATGAGAAAACGTTCGGACTTTTCCAACGATTCGAAATTGTTGATCTATCGATTTTTCTTTCTTTTTTTTTTAAATAAAACTCGATCCTCGTTTCTTCGAGCTGGATAGGATATGGTTTAAAAGGAGGGAGAAAGAGGGGGGAGGAGGATGAATTTACAAAATCGCGTTTAATCAACGGCGTTTCTATTTTAAACGGCAAGCACGCGTGCCGACATTACGTATCAACGTTCCTGTCTGTTTGACTAATGCGTCGAAATGCGCCCGTTTATTGATTTTCCCGCAGTCATTTGCATTTTGCGTGTCCGCGAAGCGACAGTAATTACGACGTGGTACCACGGATGGGCGGGAAAGTGAAACGGATCCACGGTGTAAAAGGATATAAAGTTATTGGGATATCGTTATCGATACTGTCCAACGCCACGAAACGAGAAATAATAATTTGACTCGTCGAATCGCGTCCCCAAATTGAAATCCTATCCGGTAAAAGGAACAAAGGAGGAAGCGACGTCGTCCTCTTAATTACAGAGATAAGAATCGCGAGAAAAAGCGATCCACCGGTAAACCCCTCGTTAACTCCTCGATAAATTCTTCCGAGTAGTTGCTCTTCCGAGTTGCAGCCCGCGCGCCGCCGCCCAATTTCGTCCAAACGAAAACTCGTCTAAAACTAAAAAAGGAGAAATCCGAACGATTTAAAAAAAATTAGAACGTGGAAAATATCCGATATCGCGGATATATGTATATATATATATTTTTCCAACGAAACCACGGCGAAAAAAGTCGATATACATATACAGAAGAGAAACATCCCTCCTCTCGTCCGGAAAAAAGTTTCACCCGAAGGTTTTTATCGGTGTGGGCCGGCTGATGGACCATTTCCCCGTATTAGAAAATGAAAAATGGCGGGTGGCCAAGACCGATCCGAGTCGAGCCTCCCTTTATCGAGGCTCATTATCAATCCCTTTCGTCAATTTAATTACCAAGAAATTTCTTCGTTTCGTATAGCTACCAAGCTATACTAGCTAAGCTTCTTCACACTGAGATCGATGCTTCCTCGCGATGGACTTGCGTCGACTTTCCTATAAGTTTATCGTCCCCTGTCAATCTCCTGGGAGGACGAGGGTATATCGAGTCTCTCCATATATATATATATATATATATATATATATATATATATATATATAGTAGTAGTAG